GGGACGGTGGGATGGGGGCAGGGTAGGTGATGTATTGGTAGCTGCGGCGATGATAGTGGTGGGATAGTGGTCAGGTGGCTAGGGCTAGGAGTGAATGAGTATGACGGCAAGAATAGTGGCATGGTGTTTCGTGGTGGGTTGGGGTAGGGTGTGGTGCGGGTGAATGAAGGTTGTGAAAGTGACAATAGTGGTGTGTAGGTGGCGGGAGGGGGTTAGGTTAGGGGCAGGGTGGTATAGGTGGGAAGGGGGGTTAGGTTAGTGACAATCTGAACCCATGATCACCTTTAATCTCATGCGCACCCACAAATTGCGCTTTAGAAAGGATTTGATCCGGTGCATCTCGGTACACCTCATCAGTGTTGACATTCAATTAGGATTGACTCAAGGGTGAATATCTCCTGTTACTCTTCTCACTTGAACCCAACCATATATAAATATACAAAGAATGATTGTACTATAATAAAACTGTTAAAAGTTGCAATTAGTGGACGTTAAATAGTTGTACTATATAAGTTGATTTTTACAAAAAGTGGATCGATAGAAAACAACAAAGAGTCTTGATAATCGGCCAAAATTAGCCAACCCAATGAGTTTCTAAGCTTTGCCTCCTACTAAATACGCATATTATTGTTTAATTTCACCATCTTCTAACTAATGTGGGATAAACGAAATACACCACGTTTCAAGATTTAATTAATATTCAAATCTCATTATGATTAAAAGCGATTAGACCCATTTTAAAATGAATGGAAATAAACAATACAATTTGGCATTATATTTTGAGAGTTTAAACTCACTTCTTCATAAGTGTGATTTACGTTAACCTTATAGTGATTTTTAGTTGTTAGCAAATGGCCACTCACAATGTTATTTCTAAAATTTCATTTATGACGTAATAAAATTGATTATTAGGGTGTGTGTGCAAAAACAATGTTTCCAATTTAGTTTATAAACATTCTTTCATAAAGTAATTTTGTTAAAAGGGTTTAAAGATACAAATAAGTGTACTATATATTTTGATTATTTAAAAAAAAAAGTTCGGAAAAAAATAACCAACCCTATAAGTCCAGATTTTCAACCAAAATTTAACTAACTCCATTAGTATAGAGTGTCCGTCAAAATAAGTCAACCCATGGGTTTTCACAAAGGTCTCCTCCTATATATATATATATATATATATATATATACACACACATACATATACACATGCATACATACATATAGGGCTGTCTATTTTGCAAACCAAACCATTAGTACAAACTATGCAACCCACTTTCCATCCATAGATTTCATCGACGTATTATCAAGATCTAATTGAGTTGATAAAAATTAAAATTTAATATCGTTAATTAATAAAAATAGCCCGGAAGGGCAAATTCGTCCAAAAATGGAACCTGTAATAATAGAAACCGAATGAAATCACAAAATAGCACACGTTATCAAAGGAACCATCTTGTATTTTGAGATCAACATTAACTTTTCTGTTTATTTGTGGAAGATTTTTATTTTGTTTTCATTAATCATAGAAACCGGATCAAATCACTCAAAATCATCACTCATGAAAAAACCATTAAAAATTCTGAAAATCTGAAAAAAAGAATCGGTAAGATAATATCTTAAATCATAATAACTCTGAAAAATGATAAAATAAAAAAACCTGATTTGTTATAATTGTAAAAAAAAAAAAAATAATGCAATAAAAAACGATTATTATAGATTTTCTTAAAAAAAATCTGATTTGTTATAAATATCTTAAATCATAATAACTCTGAAAAATGATAAAATAAAAAAACCTGATTTGTTATAATTGTAAAAAAAAAAAAAATAATGCAATAAAAAACGATTATTATAGATTTTCTTAAAAAAAATCTGATTTGTTATAAATATCTTAAATCATAATAACGGATTGATCGGATTAGTCGGGTTAATACTTTGATATATTAAAATATTCTTCTAACCTTGAATATGTTATTTCTCTATTCATAATTTCTTTTTCATAATCAACCATTTGATACAACTTATCCATACTTATTACGTATGTCATATTCAATTAATTTTCTCAATTTACATATATACGTTCACAGTTACTGAACATATATATGAACGAGTTATATAGAGATGAAGGACATATTGAAAATATGTATATATGAAGAGCGTACGTGATAGTGTAATTGTTTAATGTATATATTAATATAAACTCAACAATCATATTAAATCCAAAAAATAAAAGAATATCAGGTTCATCTGGTTGAGATAAGTTCAAATAATAATAACAACCCAATATCAATCAAATACTTACGATTTAAAAATTTTACAACTCGATTATAATCAGGTTGCTTCGAATTAAGTTATTTGAGGTTTTTAAGCACCCTAGTTAGAACCAAAAATTACTAAGTTACTTTTTTTAAAAACATAGCTGGAGATGCTTAACACATTGAAATGGGTCCCTAAATTCTTTTGGTTTGCATTTATTAAAAATATTTATTGATTTTATTAATTAATACGAAATCTTAATTATAAAGAATCTAATTAAAAAATGAAAATAAAAAAAGCTGTAGTCCAAAAGCTGAAGAAAACGGAAAGTTGGTTTTCTATAATCCTCTATATATATATATATATACACACACACACACACATAAATACAATCAAAAGGTCCCTCCTTTTCTTCCCCTCTCTCTCTCTCTCTTTCAAGATTTGTGTTTAAAGCCTCTGAAGAGAGAGTCTCTGTTCCTACCGCCGCTGCCACTGTTTTCGAGCCCTCACTCGCCGCCTTTCTCCGCCGTCCCTCTCTGCGCAAATTTGGGAAAGGATCAAACGCATTTAACTCCATCATTTCCCTTTAGCGGCCGCTTTTGCAATTATTTCTCAACTGCTCAAATACAGACATAATTGATTGCATATATACATACAACACTTTCCCCTGCTTCTATATAATAACTTCCATTCGTTGTACAACAATCCAAAACTTGATTTGCATCTTCTGGGATCTGGGTATTTCGCCATTCGAGGTTTGAACTGCTCAATTTTGTTTTTTGTTTGGTTGGATCTGGGATTTCTGTTTCTTATTTTACGTTAATGGCAGACAGATCTACCTCGAAAATGCCGGGTCAAAAGCAAGCAGAGGAATCGATAGTTCCATCGGATTTCAATGAGGGTGAAAATGGAGGAAGACGGAAGGAAGCAGGCGCAGAATCGGAAGATCACTCTGTGTTAAACATGACTAATTTGCTGTGGCATGGAGGGTCTGTTTGGGATGCTTGGTTCAGTTGTTCTTCAAATCAAGTAAGACCCAATAACAAATTTTCAATCATCAGATTCTTAGATGGAATAAAAACTAAATGCAAATGTGTTTTATGCAGGTGGCACAAGTGCTGTTAACACTACCATACTCCTTTTCTCAATTGGGAATGACATCAGGGATTGTTCTTCAGATTTTTTATGGTCTTCTTGGCAGCTGGACTGCTTATCTTATAAGTGTGCTGTATGTTGAGTATAGAAGCAGGAAAGAGAAGGAAAATGTGAATTTCAAAAACCATGTTATACAGGTATATGTGCTTAATCGATTTGATTTGGTTCCTCAATTGTTCATAACTAAAACCAAACTAAATCCAATATTATTTTTATTGGTAGTGGTTTGAAGTTCTTGATGGATTGTTGGGCCCTTACTGGAAAGCAATAGGATTAGCATTCAATTGCACTTTTCTTCTCTTTGGCTCTGTCATACAGCTTATAGCTTGTGCAAGGTATGTCTTTGTTTTTGAGCTGAAATCCATCAAATGTATTACTGGGTACATCTTTATTTTTGGAAAGTTGTTGGTTTCATGTTGATAAAGATATGATTTGTTGATGGTTATTTATGTGGAATATGACAGCAACATATACTACATAAACGATCATCTTGACAAGAGGACATGGACGTATATATTTGGAGCATGCTGTGCCACCACTGTCTTCATTCCTTCATTCCACAACTACAGGATTTGGTCTTTTCTTGGCCTTGGAATGACCACTTACACTGCCTGGTACATGGCCATTGCAGCTTTAGTCCATGGCCAGGTACACTTTCTATTTTTCCATAATCCAAATGAACTGCTATATATATATATATACACATTCAGACCTCAAATGCCTGATGTACAAGTTCTCATAGCACCATTGCTCAAGATTGCTTTTAACTAGTTAACATGTGTATATATTCTCTCGCACGCAGTAATACTTTCTGTTTTTGGAAAGAACATCACAGTAATACCCTTTCTACTTGCCATGTCTCTAGATCTAAGGTTATTGCTGTACAAATTGAAAATGCTGGATGAACAAGTCCTTGTTGCACACTGCAGTAGAATAGTTGCTATATTTGGAAAGATAAATCGAGGTGGTTTTGGGTTTTTCATATGTTTCTATTTTATTTGTTGTTAGGTTGATGGGGTTCAGCACACCGGTCCCAATAAGCTGGTCTTGTATTTCACCGGAGCCACCAATATTTTGTACACCTTTGGTGGACATGCTGTCACTGTGTAAGTATGCCAAATATATCTTTTATTCTAATTTATTTAATATTTAAATATTTAGTTTTATAATAACTTGTTATTATTAAATAATGGAGCTTAGTATATTTTGAAAATGGGTGTAAAAGTAACTTTTCTTCTTCTAAAATTTGCTTCTATTCGCAGCTTTTGCCTGGGTGTTTTTGAACTGAACCCGAAAAGACACTAATACGGAGATCTTATTTCCTTTTTCAAATTAAAAGTGGATTTAAAATCAAGATAAGCTGATTCTGTTAATTATTTAATTCACAGGGAAATTATGCATGCTATGTGGAAACCCCAAAAATTCAAGCACATTTATCTACTTGCCACTCTTTATGTTTTCACATTAACGCTTCCCTCGTCGTCTGCCGTCTACTGGGCCTTTGGCGATGAGCTTCTTAACCATTCCAACGCCTTCTCCCTCCTTCCAAAGACTCGATGGCGTGATGCCGCTGTTATTCTCATGCTCATTCATCAGGTGCAATTACCATATGTGATTTCTCTCTTTGATGAATGCTTTTAGGGAAAGTATATTCTTACAAAAGGGTTTTGGTGGACAGTTTATTACATTTGGATTTGCGTGCACGCCTTTGTATTTCGTGTGGGAAAAGGTGATCGGGATGCATGACACGAAGAGCATTTGCTTACGAGCACTGGCACGACTTCCAGTCGTCGTACCCATATGGTTCTTGGCTATTATCTTCCCCTTTTTCGGACCCATCAATTCTGCGGTTGGGGCACTTTTGGTCAGCTTCACAGTTTACATCATCCCTGCTCTTGCACATATGCTCACCTACAGAAAAGCCTCTGCTCGCGAGGTAAAAAAAAACCAAAATGGAGTGATTATGCATTATGGTTTTCAAGATCTTGACTTTATCTCGTTGGTTGGTCTTTAGATGTCAATAGTTGTAACGTTTATTTGTTTTCAGAATGCGGCAGAAAAGCCTCCTCGATTCCTACCGAGCTGGACGGCCATGTTTGTGATCAACGCATTTGTGGTTGTATGGGTACTCGTGGTTGGGTTCGGGTTTGGTGGATGGGCCAGCATGACCAACTTTGTAAGACAAGTTGATACATTCGGTCTGTTTGCCAAGTGCTACCAGTGCAAGCCGGCGGTGCCGCCACCACCAAAACATTGAGTTGATTCGGAGCCTAACGGTGTGGATCGAGTTCGGACTAATTGCATTCGGATCTCTTTTGTGTCTCGATATTTTTGTATTATAGATGGGGAGTATAAATCATTTTCCCTACATGTGGTGTTTTTCTTTGGGTTGTCTTTTAATTGATTTTATGAATTTAAATGTAGATTTAAACAATAGGGTGATGAATTGTGATGATTCTAATTAATTAATTAAATACTACATATTATTCCCCTTTTGTTTAAAGTACATTAAATATACTAGAAAAACTATTTGAAGAATAAAGATGCTTAAGAAGAGATTATTTATGTTTAGTATTTATTAAACGTTTATCTAAATAAATGCTTACCAAGTTAATTTACTTTATTGGATGAATATGACAAACTAATAATCTTACCTGATAAAAGTGAAAGCAAGAATCTCGAGTCCTATTTGGTAAGTGAGAACAATGACTTTTACCATGTTTGTTAAGTCCCTATTTATATATACATTAAACAATTACGTCATCACGTACCCTCTTCATATATATATATATTTTCAATCTAATCTTACATGATATGAGCGAAATCAAGAATCTCGAGTCTTATCTGGTAAGTGAGGACAAAGACTTTTACCATGGTTAGCGCTTACAGGGATAAATTGTTGCATACGATACATTTTAGTGAATAAAATTTTGCCTGTTAAATAAGCAATAATGTTGAATTTTACCGATAAATGCTTACAGAGTAAGTGTTTAGGTAAACTAATATAAATTATTTTAATAAACGTGATATGGGGTTTGACATTTGGGGAAGAAAGAAGTGTATTTGGATCTCGGAAGGAATGGGGGCATGGACCCAATTATTTCACATGGCTGCGTCACGTGATCACCTATAATGCAATTGAAATCAAACAACTAACGCACATGTTGCAAATAATCGTCAAATTGGTGAAGATGCTCATCGCATATCGCCAAACGCAAATGGGTTGGACAAAACCCCAACATAAACGAGTATAATTTTCAATCTTTTAGGAGATATGGTCACAGGGTTTAAAGGTATGGTCAAGGGGGGTCGTATAGGGACGGACCCAATTTTTTTTAAATAATGACACTATTTGATCATATGAAAAAAAAATATAGGATTTTTTTTTCCAAACGGTGACATCGTTTGACTAAGAAAATGACACTAACATGATTCGGACTTGGGTGTGGGTTGGAATAAAAGCCTTGCAAACCAACTCTACCAAATAAAACTTGTTCTCATTGTAATTTCAAAATACATACGGTGGCATACAACAAATTAATACGGTTGCACCGTTCACGAAACCTAATTTTTTTACCCTTTGGCAGAGAAATAATACGATGGCACGTGCCACCTATATCACATACATAGGTCCGTCCATGGGGTCGTAACATGTGCGCAGATGACTTGTGATAGACCAAATATGATGATAAACAACATACGACAGTTCAACCGAACTTTTGACATAAAATCTCTCACTGAAGCTCTGAAATTGACTTTAAAGATGTTTGTTTCCTTGTGATTTCCGATTTTTATTATTTTTAAACTTGTGCCATATCATGATCCATGCATGTATTTTTTTTAAGGCTTTACTTTTTTTTCACTTTCTACCTATGTGCTAGGGGACAAATGAGAGTGCGCCATGTATACCAAACATTTAGGAATATTCATCATTAATAGTGTATCATTCATCGTGAATGGTGTAGACATTTATCATGTATGTGATAAAAAAATTTACGTTCATTATTCATGATTGTTGGATCACCTATTGATTTGGTGATGACACATTGATCTATCCCACTATCCTATCAACACTTAATAGTTATTGTTTCTTGGTACATACTTAAAGCCTTTGATAAAATCGAAGACTAGCCGATGTGAAGACAGAAGGTAATCGATGCAATACTGTGGATCAACTGTCTAAATTACACACAAAGACTCCAAAGAAGCTGATTTGAAGATTGAAATGTTTTGAAGCTGCTAGCCGAACGAAGGAAGATCTTCATGCACCGAGATTTGTAAGTAGTTGTTTGAAGCTACTAATCCATCTAAAGAAGATTTCTCTACAAACTGACCATATCTCTACAAAAACTTGTACCTGATAAAGACATTCCTTATCAGTAGGTTTGTCTCTACATGAACAATATTGTGTGCATGTAGAGTACGATGAAAATGATATATCAACTATGGTCAAGACAACCTTTGCCTCTTTATCCTAAGGTGACATGTGTCACCATACATTTAATGCATGAGGGTAGTATAAAAGGTATAGTGCATCTCCATGCAAACAACGCTTCCCTGAAAGAATTTCTAAGTGCATTCTCAAGGAAATCGACTCTCTTCTACTACTTTCCCACTCTCCTGTGTGTGAAGAAAAACTTAGGTGGCGTTTGGTTCGTAGATTCTGGAGGAATCTGATGGAATTGGAATGTTGAATTCCATTGACCAAATTCCATTCTCTCGTTTGGTTCATTCTTTTTCATGAAAGGAATCTTCAAAATCCTACAAATTTCACAAATATAGGAATTTAACATTCCTTAGCAACTACATGGTATTTTGATGGAATGGAATCTCTATCTTCATTATACCAAATATGTCCTTAACCTAATATGCTATAATCTCATAAAACTCAATATGACCATCGTCGACCACCTCTTGACCACTATTGATCTGAACCACCGCCGACTACTACCGGTCTGAACCACCACCGACCACCACCGACGACTACCACCGGTCTGAACCACCGCCGGCCACCACCGGTTTGAACCACCGCCGACCACCACCATCGACTACCACCGGTCTGAACCACCGCCGACCACCACCGACGAGTACCACCGGTCTGAACCCACCGCCGACCACCACCACCGACTACCACAGGTCTGAACCACTGCTGACCACCACCACCGACTACCACTGGTCTGAACCACCACCGACTACCACCGATCTGAGCCACTACTAATCTGATTCACCGTCAATCTGAACCACCATCGATAACTGCTATCTAAACCACCATGGACCACCACCGATCTGAACCACCGCTGACCACCACCACCGACTACCACCAATCTGAACCATCTTCGACCACCGTTGACTACCACCGATCTGAACCACCGCTGACCACCACCGTCGACGATCTGAGCCACCATTGATCTGGTTCATCGTCAATCTGAACCACCGCCGAAACGCCATCTGAACCACCATGGACCACCATCGATTTGAACCACTGTCGACCATTGCTATCTGAACCACCACGGACCACCATTGATTTGAACCACCACCAATTACTATCGATCTGAAGCACCGTCGATGTAAACCACCATTGACCATCACTGATATGATCCATCGCCGATCTGAACCACATTTGACCATCGTCACCTGAACCACAACTGACCACCATCGATCTATATGACTGCCAACCACCGACGACTACCATCGATCTGAATCACCATCAAACACCACCGACCACCACCGATTTGAACAACCACCACCGACCACCTCGATCTGAACCACTGCGGACTACCATCGATCTGAATCACTGCGGACCACCACCATCTAAACCACTGTGGACCACCACCGATCTAAACCACTCCGACCACTGTCGATTTAGTAACGTCGTTTGGCTTATGATTATATTTGGATTGTGTATTTTATATTGATTTACATATTAAATAATTATTTTATTAAAGTATTTTTAGTTTTAAAAAAATAAAATTTTCAAAAAAGGGCATTTTGGTCATTTACCAATATTTTATTTCAGTTCTAAAGCTACATTCTGTGAACCAAACAGACATATTCCAATTCCTTAACAGATTCCATTCCAATGTCTGCCAACCAAACAGGTGGTCAAACTTGACAACATTCCATTCCAATTCTTTCAAAGTCAAATTCCCTTAACAAATTACATTCCATCCAAAAACATTGTGCGAACCAAACGCTACCTTAGTGTTCTTCATTTCTTTGCTATTACTCTTTGTGTTAATCTTGTAAATTCTTATCTGTGTAAGACAAGTCAACTCACAAGCCTATCAAGAACAAGAAGTCAAAATCCAAATTGAAGATGAACCATAAGCCTTCGGCTACTTCATCTCAATCGACTACTGTTTTTCGATTGTCTACATCAATGCCATCAGTTACTGAGTTCGTTCCCTAAGCAGTATATCTGAAAAAGACTTACATGGTTTCTACCTCCTCTGAAAAACCAATCATTGAGTCTGAAAAAGGGATTCTTGGTCCAAAACCCTCTTCGTCCTCTATCTTATCTTCAAAAGCTTCTTCCTATTTCAAAAGATCAAATAATCATGTTAACACAATTAAGCACATACCTTTGATATCGATTAAACCTGTGTTCATTTATCGTAACTGTGGTGACACCTTTCATCTAGCTAAGAGGTGTTTGAAGGAAAGAATCACTAAACCAATAGGAAAAGTGAAAGAAGAAAAGTCTCCTAACCCAAGTAGACCCATTGTAAAATTGGTACCTAAATACTGATTTATATTTGATTGCAGGGCTTGAGACACTGACAAGTATGGTACATGGAAAGTGGAAGTTCAAGACACATGACTGGAAACAAGTCATTACTGATCAACTATGTGTCTGAACCTGATCCTTCTGTAACCTTTGGAGATAATGCCATTACCAATGGATATGGTGTACTCTATAATAGCTCGGTTACCTTTAACTGAGTAGCTATGTGGATGGACTAAAGCATAATCTACTAAGTATCAATCAACTATGTGATGTTAGCTTCATTATAAAATTGAAAGAATACCAGTGTACTATTCTTGATTATTCTTGCAAGAAGGTACTAACCAGTATCAGAAAGGATAATGTCTATGTGTTCAACATGGGATCACTTAGCACTACTGACGTCAACATCTGTTTCTACTTCGAAGTTACTGCTGATCAAAATTTGCTATGGCATAAAAGGTTGTCTCATCTCAACTTCAAGACCACCAACAAGCTTTCTAGCAAAGATCTAGTCATCGGACTCCCTAAGATGTCATATGTCAAAGAGAAGCTATGTGCTGCTTGTGAAAAAGGCAAACAGACTAAAACAAGTTTTCAGTCCAAGATGTGGTCTTCTATTTCTACTCCTTTGTACATGCTTCACATGGATCTCTGTGGTCTTGTGAACGTTAAAAGTTTTGGTGGAAAACGCTATACTTTTATTATTGTAAATGAGTACTTACGATATACTTGGGTCTTCTTTCCTCAACACAAGAATGTTGTAGCCGA